GGTTCAGGCCCAGGAACACGGTCTGTGAGGAAAACTGAAGGATGAGGACACCAGCCCAGGGGCTGACTCTGAAGGCCTAGCCATAGGGCAGACAGGTACCATGGACTCTATGTAGAGATTAGAGGCATTAAGTAACATTCCCAAACCCAGTGAGACCAGTGAAAGGTAGAGCCCTAGCTCAGGGCATGGGACAGATTTTTCTGGTAATCAATCAATCAATCAGAGGGATAGGTTCCAGACTGGGATGGGGCTGGGAATTGCTACCTGGGCAATGCCCTCTTTCAGGACTTGCTTGTGGATGTCAAAGAGGCGAGCAGTAAATTCATCCCTTTTGATGGTGCTGGAGGAAGAAACAGAGAATATTTTCCAGGCTACATGGGACATTAAAAGTCAAGATGTCCCACCCCTAGCCACTGACTCTGAGTCCTCTGTCTACTGGCCAAAAGTTGAACACTCACCCCAATCTAGTAGAGAATCTAGTTTTAGAGCCAGATGACCTAGGTTCAGATCCCACCTCTACCACTTATTACTAGGCAACTTCAGAATCATTTCATCTGTCTGTGTCTCAGTTTTCTCATTTGTAAAATGAAAAGGAAAATAATTACATTTATATCAAAGCTCTGGTGAAGAGTAAATGAGAAGTTTCATTCAAAATATTGAACATAGTTTACTGAACTTGTTACTTTGAATGTAACATAGTAGCTGGTCCCAAGAATTCACAAATGGCATGTGAATTTGAATAGCTCTATATTTGAATAGCTCTGATGGTTGGTAAGCTTTCTGGATGATGTAACATTAACTCTCTGTAGCTTTCCCCACCCTCAGGGTCCTCCCAGGACATGTCCTCCTCCACAACAGCCTTCAGAGATTACAAAACAGTTATGCCCAATGCACCAGAAAGATTTTTCTGGTCTGGCTGAATATATTCTTTCTTTTCTTCAAGGAAACCTTCCCTATTTGAATCTCCCTGCTATATGCTCTCATAGCACTATAGACTTCTTTATAGCACTGATTGCATTTGCAATTCTCCATTTTATTTGTGTAGTATAAACTACCTAAGAGTGGGGGCCATGTCTGTGATGACTCATCATCACAGCCCAGTGTGCTGCTGTGAAATACAACATATGCTAGGGACCCATCCAGTATGGTTTCCTGGAGCCTCAGGAAGAGGCACAGTGAGAAGGAATCCACAGGTAATTATACTCAAGATTCAGAGAAGACCCCACACAACTGCTCAAGTCTGCCTTGCCAGTTCACCTTGTTACAAGGACCCTATAACTGACCAGGGGGAGCCAAGTAGCACAGTTATGCCCTGAAATTCTCTGCTTCCCAGCCAGCTCTCTCCCAAGGATGAGCTATCCCATGGGGCCTTTCCAGCTCTTGTGAGGAGAGTTGTCAGCTGGGGATTTGGGACACATTTTCATTTTTCTAAAAAGATGCTCCCCCTCAAGTCTAAGTCCCGGCTGCTGTTCTAGCACATACACTCTCAGGCCTTCCTCCTGATGAGCCAGGGTTTGTGTCTGTTATAGGAGAGAGGAACAGGGAAGGCAGGGTTGCAGAGATGGCCTGCAGGAAAGGTCTTCCACATAATCATTTCATCAGGGTAAAGGTCATAAGCCAAATAATGATTGCTCATTATTTTCCACAATCCAGAATTGCAGATACAAAGCTGAGCCACCCTGAGAAAGATCTCAGGGGAACGTGGTGGTGGTAGGGTGCATATATTCACATGTCATTGAGCTGTTGAGTCCTGGTCAGTGGTTTCCAAACTTCTTACCACTGTGATCCCTTCTTACAGTCACCATCACAATGAGGTGCATATCTTAAAAAGATTTTGCCCCTAAGAAAATAATCCAGTTTGTTGAAAAATTAATCTAAGATATGCAATTATATATACATATAGCATATAAAATAGGTGTAATGCTTACATATATATAATTTCAAAAAAATAATCTATATTTAATTCTAAGATAAAATTTTTACTTGTCCGAGAATCTGAAAAAATAAAAAGAGGGGGTTGGGTTGTGGTTATGGCCTCTTGTCCTGGTTATGGCCAGTCTACACCCCATCTCACCCAAAAATGAGAGGCCTAAGGTGACAAAAAGGAAGGGGCCACTGCTTAGGAGAAGTAGGAAATCTGACTTTAAGCCCAAGATCACAGAATCATGAAATGGTAGCACTGAAAATAACCTTAGATTTAAGCCAAACTCCCTATTTTCAAATGAAGTAACGAAGGCCATATAAAAAGTGATAAAGCCAGGATTAGAATTCTAATCTCTATTCTACTATGTTTTGTTTCTCCTGGAGGGCTCCTGTCCTTCACCCAATAAGTCAACTAACCCAGCCACTCCTGATGGCTCCTCAGTCTTCTAAGCCTTTGGCTCCTGTGACTAACCACCCTGTACCTGGAGAGGGTTTGCTCCAGAAAGGCAGCATTCTGGCTGACAGCATCCACTAGCAGGTTGAAGTCCATCTGCACGGCATAGGCCTGCTCCAGCAGGGCACTGGGGACCAGTGAGGGAAAAAAAAGAAAGAGCGTGAATGGAGCATAGCTCACCACCTGGTCAAGGAGAGAGTAGGGCAGGGGTACAGCATCTGTGAATGAGCTCTCTTCCTGCAAATGTAACCCTATTGAAAATCTGGCCTACATTCACTGAGGACACACCAATGCAAAAGAGTAATCATCTCTGGGAGGTGTAAAAGGGAAGAAGGTAAGGTAGAGGTATACAAAGTGAACTTCCAGATTCTGTGGCATTTTATCTCTACATATTAGAAAGGATGAGATGCAGGTCTGGCCCTATAGCTTAGTGGTTAAGGGAGCTGGATCCCTCATGGCTGACCATAGTTCAAATCCTGGCCTGGTAGCTTGTAAAACATGTTGGGGGAAAAAAAAAAAACATTTTGGGTGCATGTGTGGGCATGACTCAAATCCTGATGGGATGGAGAAATGGAGAAGGGATTGTGGCTTGACCAACCCCCACTAGGAACTATTTTCTCCCTCTGTCTGTCTCTCTTAGGCAAGGCAATAAAAATAAAATAAAATGAAAAAAAAAAAGCAAAAAGCAGATAACTATTGAGAGCACAAAAAATTATTGACAGCTTACTATATGCAAGGTGCTTTTTAAAGTACTTTATATAGAACCAATATTTAATCCTTGAAGAAGGTACTACTATTATCCACATTTAACAGATAAGGGACCTGAGATAGAGATTAAATAACAGGTTCAGTAACAAATTATATTCAGTTAGTAAGTGGTGCTAGGATCGAGTGGTTACTAAACATACACAAGGTCCTAGTTTGTTGATATTCAAGCCCAGGAATCTCTTTATGTCAGAAGCTCACTCTCCAGCCCTCTTATCTTTTGGCTGGAGTAGAGATGCAGCAGAAGTGAACTCTGACCTTTGAGTAGAAGCCTGGACTTGGTGGCTTGAAAATCATGCCATGTGTGCATGCATGCCTTAAATCACAGGAGAATGGAGGAGAAGGGATTGTGGTGTGGCAATCCCCCTGAGGGATGATTTCCTCACTTTCCCGCTAACCCTATCTCTCTCCCTAGTGAGCACATGCACCCCAAGGCAAAAACCTCTCAAAAAAAAAAGAAAAGAAGTTGGCATTTATATATTTATAAACATTATTCTTTTTTCACTTTTTTTTTTTTTTGGAGAGTTTTTTGCTATAGGGCACGTGAGCTCACCAGAAAGACAGAGAAAGACAGAGAGACAGAAAGCGAGAAATCACCCCCACAGGGAGGATGGCCATGCCACAATCCCTTCTCCTCCATTCTCCTCTTGGGCACGCACACACATGGGCCCAGTGTGAGTTTAAGCCACCAGTTCCAGGACTCGAACTGCGGTTGACTACATGGGAGTTCAACGACATAGCCATTATGCTAACTGCTGGTCCCCTAAACATTATTATTTTGAAGAGATAATACAAACATATGATACAAAATTCAAAAGAGACATAAGGATACATAGTGAGATGTATGTCTTGCTCCCACTCTAGCTACAGACACCTAGCTCTCCTCTCCAGAAACAAATTACTAGTGTCTCACACATCCTTCCAGACATCTCTATATTGTATATATGTATACATATATATTTTCTCTTTTTTACACACACAGCATTTTTTTTAATTGCTAGAGGGCATGTGTATTTGCCAGAGAGAGACAAAGAGACAGAGAGAGATAGGGAGAGAGAGAGAGAGCACCCCCAGATGGGGTGTAGTCAACACCACAATCCCTTCTCCTACATTTCCCCGTCCTGTTGGAATTTTGGGTGCATACACACATGCATCTGGTGTGTTTTCAAGTCACTAGGACTGGGATTCAAACCACAGTTAGCCATATAGGATCCAGCTCTCTCAACCACCAGGCTACAAGGCTGGCCCTGTCCCTAGCTTTTAAAATATTTCCTTATATGTTCAAGTAGAGCACTCTCATTCTCTTTAATGGCTGTATAGAATTCTACTCTTTGGATTATACCATAATTTTATTTATTTATTTAAATTTTCTAGAGAACAAGCCCCCCCCCCTTTTTTTTTAAGAGAGATTTTTGCTATAGGGCATGTGCACTTGCCAGAGAGACAGAAAGTGAAAAATCACCCCTTCCCCCCAGAGGGGATGTCCACACTGAAATCCCTTCTCCATTCTCCTCTCGGAATCATGGACACACACCCACACATGCCTGTATGAGTCTAAAGCATGGTCCACTATGTGGGAGTCCAACAACATAACCATTACACCTTCTGCTTGTTCTCAGCAAACCCTTTTCCATTTTTCCTTTTGGGATTTCAGGCACGCATATGCTCATGCCCAACAACTTTTTTTTTTTTTTTAAGTTTGCTGTAGAGTACATGTATTCACTTGAGAGAGAAAGAGACAGGGAAAGTGAGAAATCATCCCCAGAAGTGAAGGCCATGCCTCAATCCCTTCTCCTCCATTCCCCTCTTGGAGAATTTTGGGCATGCACGCACATGTGCCTGGTATGATTTTTCAAACCACTAGGTGGGCCTCAACCCTCAAACCCATGTGGAATACAGCTGCCTTAACCACCATGCCACCGGCTGGCTCTCATAATTCATTTAATCTAGTCTTGTACCAATGAATATTTAGGTGGTTTCTTTATTTTTCCTAATTTAACCAACATTCTATGAATATCCTAGAATATATATTCTAGACTCTAGGTATTTTGTACGTGAGAAAGTTCATAGGTTCTAAATTTCTAGAAGTGGATAAGCCAAGTAATTAATGTAAATTCATTTTACATTTTGCTAGATAATCCCCAAATTACCATCCTCAGCAGCTTTTTTTTTTGGAGAGATTTTTGCTATAGGGTGTGTGCGCTCACCAGAAAGACAGAGAGACAGAAAGCAAGAAACCACCCCCCCCCTGGCGTGAGTTTAAGCCACCGGGTCCAGACTCAAACCGCGGTCGACTACATGGGAGACCAGTGACATAGCCATTATGCTAACTTCTGGTCTCCTCAGCAGCTATTTTAAGATAAAACTGAGAAAGGATATTTTTGAGAATGTTTATTTAGCCTGAAGGCTTTATGATTTAGAATTAATGCAGATTATGGAAGGGGTGACCTAATATGCTGAGTTCATGTATGATGACTACAGGGGCGTTCCCTTGGCTTTAAAACTCAGAACTCTGCCTCCTCTAACAAGTCCCATCTGGCCCGAGAAATTCCCAAAGAGTTTTTCTTCTTAGACTTCCCTGTGCCTCTGTCCCCAGAACTTGTTAGGTGCATCTAAACTTAGGATCAATAGTATATAGCTGTTCTCTGCTGTCTAAGTCTAAAGGCTGAAACACACTGTCTTCTCACTTCTGAAGGTAAAATAATATTATTCTACTATAAGGAAAACTGCAGTGCATGTATGACAATAAAATTCTGTTTTGTAGTCAGAAAAACAGTACAGGGAGTGACAGCAACTGTGGCAAACTGAAGAACTCACGTCTGTGTAAAGGGGGCAGCCAGAACTTTGCTCTAGCCAATTATTGCCATGCAGTAGACTGGGTCATAGTCACCAGATGCTCTGTTTGGCAAACTGGGTAGCCATGTGTATGTATGTGTGTGTATGTATGTATATATATATATATATATATGTGTGTGTGTGTGTGTGTGTGTATTTTTTTCCTTCTTTGACCTGAGGAGTCAGTAACAATGATACACATGGCAGAGGGATAGAAAACAAAACTGCAGAAGAAATCAACTCCACACCTCATTTTCATTAAGGTTTAGTTAGTCCTAAATTATTGTTTAAGTGCTGAATTATATAAAACTGGTACTATTGTCTTGAAAATATCAGCTTTGCTCTGATCTTTGTAGTAATATTTTGAAAAAGAAAACAGTGGCTAAAGGAGAGATTTCACCCTTCACTGAATACCGTTTTGAATTTTGTACCCTACTCATTTATTACTTATTCAAAAAATAAATTAACTCCCTAAACACAGTAGGAGCCAAACAGCTTACACATGGCTGGTTTACAGCCCAATCTATGGTATAAAGTTCACATTCCTCTTCTGCCCAGTATCTAAGCCTCTTGCCTGTCTTGACTTTGGCCTGCCTTCTTTCCCACTATATCCTGTTACATGCCCCTACATTTCAGCTGCATCTTCTTGAACAGTTTTTGCCTTCTCTTTTTTGGGCCTTTGCTATTCTATTACTTTCCCCCACTTGTCTTTTAAGTTCTAGTCCAAATACTGCCCCCAATTTCAACCCTCTAATCATAATGAATTTCTCCTTTTCCTGAATCCTGTACAGTATCCTCAGAGAGGCAGTAAAGCATTGATGTTCGGAGCATGAACCCATGAGCCGAACTCCTTGGGTGTAAATTCTGGCTCTGTACATTATTACACCATTTAAATGACCTCAATATACTGAACTTCTCTGGGCCTTGGTTACCTCATCTCTGTTGTGGTGAGGGATAAATGATTCATAACTCTAATGTGTTTTTTTTTTAATTTTTAATCTTTTTTTTAAATTGCCAGAGAGACAAAAAAAAAAAAAAAGAGAGAGAGAGAGAAAGCATTCCCACATAGGGCGTGGCCATATTGCAATCCCTTTTCCATCCCTGAAGGATTCAGAGTACATGGGCACATGCACCTGGTATGTTTTTCAAGTCACTGGGGCCAGGATGTGAACCTTGGTCAGCCATGTCAGAGTCAGGGCCAGAGTCACCAGATGCTCTATTTGGCAAGCATATACAGCACCCAACCACTGTGCTACAGGGCCAGCCCCCCAAGTGTTTAGAATAGTGTCTAGCACATAGTAAATACTTGATAAATGGTTAATATTATGCAGAAGATTGCCTGTTTCCTCATTTTGTCTAGTGGTTCATTCTCCAACTATACCATGAGTTCCAGAGGCTGGGACTTCTGACTATCTCATCCCTCTGTCCTCAGTGCTTAAAGTGGCCCACATACAGCAAAAACCAGGTAAAGATTTGGAATGAAATCATGTACACATATGCACTTCCTTGCTTTTTTGTCTGGATTAGAATTCTCATTGAGGATTGTGCCTTTTCTAGGCATTCCATTAACTTTCAGAAGGACCAAATGTTGGACCTTCACATAATACGAACTGATTAACAGAAGATATAAAAGTTCAGAATATCTTGGATTCAGACAAGCAGTTCACAAAATCTAAGTTTACAGCCTAAGCAATTCTACCCAAAGCCACAGGCAGACCTTCCACAGCATCAGCCTACCTTAAGTGATAGTCCTTCTCATTTACTTGGGTCTCAGCAAATACTTATTTAATCTGGACTTGCCACCAGGCCTTGACTAGATTCTGGCCACGGAGAGATAAAAAAGAATGTGATTGGGTTAAAAAAAAGGATGCTGGGGGCCAGCAAGTGGTGTGGTGGTTGAGGGTGCTGAACTCCCACATGGCCAACTGTGGTTTGCATCCTGGACCTGGTGGCTTGCTCTCTCACTTTCTCTCTCTCTCTCTCTCTCTCTCCCTCTCTGGTCAAATTAAAATAAAGAAAGAAAGAAGAAAAAGAAACAAAAGTTAGATAAAGTAATTATTTAAAAAAATATGTTGGCAGCTATTTTTGTCACCAATATAAATGGTCTTATTTATTATATGCAGTTTTTTTTGTTTTTGTTTTGTTTGGTTTAGGGTGCGTGCACTTGCCAGAGAGACAGACAAGGAAGGAGAGAGAAAGAGAGAGAGGGAAAGTGAGAAATCACCCCCTGAGGGGATGGCCACATTGCAATCCTTTCTCTATTCTCCTCTCAGTGTGTGCATGGGCATACATGCACACACATTTGTCATGATTTTCAAGCCTCCAGATCAGGGACTTGAACCATGGAGTTGACCATGTGGGATCTAGTATTTTAACCTTTATGTCACCTGCTGGCCCTATTGTATGAAGTTAAGTTAAAAAAGAAAAAGCAGTCAAGGTACAGAAGAACTCATTTACTTTGCTTCTTTGTGTACAAAGTGGAAAGAGAAATATATACATATACTTGTTCTGAATAAACTGAAAGGATAAACAAGACCATTACAACACAGACTACCTTTGGGGCAGGAGAACCAGGTATCTAGGGAATGTGGAAAAGAGGGTTAAACTGTAAATTCTTGCATTTTTTTCTTTTTTAAAAAATCTTTAGAGAGGTTTTTGCTGTACGGCCCATGTGCTCACCAGAGAGACAGCAAGATAGAAAGCCAGAAATCACCTCCTAGGGGGATGACCACACTACAAACCTTTCTCCTCCAATCTCCTCTCTGGATTTTGGGCAATGCATGCACATGCGCCCAGCACAAGTTTAAGCCGCCAGGTCTCAAAATGTAGTTGACTCCATGGGAGTCCACCAGCATAACCATTATGCCATCTGCTGGTCTCTACTTTTTGAATTTTAAATCTGAAAATATCTCACCTAGTCACAAAATAAAAGTTTTATTTTGTTTTGTCTTTTAAAGAATGACATTTTAAAAAGGTATGGTTTGGACTCAGCATTTCTACTTTTATGTATCAACCCTAGAGAAACACTTACACAAGTGCCCAAACAGCGATGTACGTGAATTTTCCCTGGAGTACTCTTTATAGTCATAAAAACATTTGAAATCACCTAGAAGCTATCAGTACAGGAAAGTTAAATTGTGGTGCATCCACACCAGGAATGCTATGTATTAGAATGAAGGCCCTAATGGGTAAGAGTTCTAAGATGTACTGTTGAAGGAAAAAAAGAATCACATCATAAAACAATATATGTGATCTAATCTGTTTCTTTAAACACTATATATCTGGGGGTCCAGCCAGTGGTGTGATAGTAAAAGTACCTGGGTCCCACATGGCTGACTGTGCGGTTTGAGTTCTGGACCTAGTTCCTTAGGAAAACATACTGGGTACATGTACATAAGTGCCCAAAATCCCAAAAAGAGGGAGAAATGGAGGAAAAGGGATTATGGCAGGACGATGCCACATGGGGAGTACTTTCTCACTTTCTCCTTCCTTCTCTTTAGTGAGCACATGTATCCTCTGGCAAAATTTAAAAAGAAAATCATTTTGAAAAAATAAATTAAAATGACATATTTTTATATACACATATCTATGTATATAAATACACAGAGATAGATCTGAAAGGATAAACAATAAACTAATTACAGAGAAGGTAGTGTGATTAGGGGGTCTTAACAAATAATAGTTCTCTGAGCAAAGCACTTTATGTGAATTACTTTCTGGTTCTATTATTATCCCTTTTTCATATATGATAAAACTCCAGCTGCAAGAGGTTAAATAATTTGCTTAAGTCACACTTCAAACCCCAGATTTAATGTGATTTCTTCAGCATGCTTTTTACTTTGCCTACTTCTAAAGGTCAATTTTAGCTGTTGAAAAAAATGCAAAAGAGATGACCCAAAGGAACTGCACCGGCCAGCTGGACTGTGGTCAGTAAAGTGGGGAGGGGGAGGGGTTGGGGGCTTACATCTGAGGAGCTGGGCTCCTGCGAGGTCCTCAGCAACACTCCCTCAGCCAGGGCTCGGTCGACAGCCTGCAGTGCCAGCTCCTCTAGCTGCTGCTCATCCTGCAAGAGACTTTCCCAGCCAGCAGCCATTTCAACCTGCAACAGACAAGAGTAGAGCTTGGTGACAGATGGCCGAGGGACCAGTAAGCACTGAAAGTGGCTGGCAGCCACCCCCCAAGAGGGACCCTGGCCTCTGTGGAAGGGGAGTGAACAGTGGCTGGTCTCAGCTCTTAACAACTACGTGCACAAAACAGAAAGCTTGACAAAGCATTTCCATTGCCACTCTCTCTTTTGATTCCTAATACAACAATGGTATGGTATTATTGACACAGTAAGGAACAGAGGCTCAGAGAGGTGGAATGATTGGCCATAGGTAAAGTCTGGATTAGACTCCAGGTCTCTGGACTCCGAACCAATGCTCTTCACTGGAGAAAGAGGCAGTAACTTCAGAAGTGACTAGGGCGAGATCCTTCCCCTCCCAGAGCAGAAGATTCTCCACCTGGGAAACAATGAGGATGAGGATGAGGCAATCAGATCAGTGGTTTACCAACCTGGCTGAGCATTCTGGGGAGCTTAGGGAAGAATACAAATTCCTGGGCCCCACCAAATGATTCTATTTTAGGAGGTCTGAAGGAAGGGAGGGATCAAGACATGGTTTTTGTTTTGTTTTTTTTTTTAAGAATTATTTATTTTCTTCTTCTTTTTTTTTTTTGGAGAGGTTTTTGCTATAGGGCGCGTGCGCTCGCCAGACAGACAGAGAGAGACAGAGAGACAGAAAGCGAGAAATCACCCCCCAGGGGGGATGGTCACACTGCAATCCCTTCTCCTCCATTCTCCTCTTGGGATCTTGGGCACGCACGCACATGTGCCCAGCGTGAGTTTAAGCCACTGGGTCTGGGACTCGAACCGCAGTCGACTACGTGGGAGTCCAGCGACATAGTCATTACATTAACTGCTGTTATTTTAATTGACCAGAGAAAGACACAGAGAGAGAGAGAGAAAGTGAGAAAGCAAGCCATCAGGTCCAGGATTTGAACCATTCATTTATTTATTTTAATTTGACCAGAGAAAGACACAGAGAGAAAGTGAGAAAGCAAGCCACCAGGTCCAGGACTTGAACCATGGTTGGCCATATGGGAGTCTAGCACCCTTAACCACCACACCACCTGCTGGCCCCTCAACACATGGTATTTTTAACAAGGATGGTAAACACTGAAGTAATTATTAATTTCCCTCCTAGCTCCAAAAAACCATGTCAGAAGATCTCATATATATTACATGGGCAAGGTAGAAAGAGTTCTTTGTGGAATACCATGAAATGCAGAGTAAGTGAATTCTTCCCTCGTACTAACCAGAAACAAACTTACAAGTAGGAAATTATTATACTCTATATACAGACATCAATGACTATATATATTTTTAATTATTATTTTTTGAAGAGGTTTTTGCTACAGGGCATGTGTGCTCACCAGAAAGACAGAGAGACAGAGAGATAGAAAGCGAGAAATCACCCCCCAGGGGGGATGGCCACACTGCAATCCCTTCTCCTCCATTCTCCTCTCAGGATCTTGGGCACACATGTACATGTGCCTGACATGAGTTTAAGCCACTGGGTCCAGGACTCAAACCGTGGTCGACTACATGGGAGTTCAGCAACATAGCCATTACACTAACTACTGGTCCACATATATATATATATTTTTTTTAGAGAGAGGTTTTTTGATATAGGGCATGTGCGCTTGCCAGACAGACAGAGAGAGACAGAGAGATAGAAAGCGAGAAATCACCCCCAGGGGGGAATGGCCATGCCGCAATCCCTTCTCCTCTATTCTCCTCTTGGGATCTTGGGCACGCACGCACATGTACCCAGCATGAGTTTTAAGCCACCGGGTCCGGGACTCGAACTGCGGTCCACTATGTGGGAGTCCAGTGACATAGCCATTACGTTAACTGCTGGTCCCCCTATATATTTTTTTGAGAGATTTTTGCTATAGGGCACATGTGCTCTCTGGAGAGACAGAGAGACAGAGAGATAAAAAGCAAGAAATCGCCCCTTGGGATGATGGCCACACCGCAGTCCCTTCTCCTCCAATCTCCTCTGGAGATTTTGGGCACACATGCGCACATGCCTGGCGTGAGTTTTAAGCCACCGGGTCCATGACTTGAATGGCAGCCAACTATGTGGGCGTCTAGAGACGTAACCATTATGGCATCTGCTGGTCCCAAGACAAAAAATATTTCTGAGAAATCACATTAGCAGTATAGTAAGTTATTTCTATACTTAAACCCAAGTACTCAATGTAATAGGAGGAGGAGTCCAATTGGTTGTCCAGAGAGGCACAGTGTACCAAGTCATACCTTGATACTCACTTTGCATCCTGCCTCAGAGGTTTAAAAAGACTTGGAGGGACCAGGAGATGGCATAATGGCTTTTTTTGCTAAATTCCGATGTAGTCAGCTGTGGTTTGAGTCCCAGACCCCGCAGCTTAAAACTCACTCCAGGCCTTTGTGTGTGTGTGTGCCCAAAATCCCAAGAGGAGAAGGGATTACAGTGTGGCCATCCCCCTGGGGAGTGATTTCTCACTTTCGGTCTCTCTGACTCTCTCTGTCTCTCCAGCGAGCCCACATGCCCTATAGCAAAAATCTCCCTTAAAAAAAAAAAAAAAACCTGTATAAAAACCTAGAAATACCAGTAATTAATTTTGTTCTGTCCCAATGTCATTTAATTTTAAGAATAAGCACCTGGTTGCTCAAGTCAGTAGTCCCAAAAAGAGGGCTAGAGAATAAGTAATTTCTATCACATTCAGCTCTGCCTTCCTCTTCCCATGACAGAGCTGGTGCTTACAACAATGATGAAAGTCTGCTAGCCTCAGCACAATGTTGAATGAGCATGCGTTCTCCAGAGGGTCCTGAAAATATCCCTATTGGGTGAGGAATAGATGAGGACAGTCATAGTAAAGAACTAGGCTCTGGAGTCAGACAGAACTGACCTGGGTTTTAGTCCTTAAAAACGTTACTCCCTTTTAAGTAAGTTTTCTGTGGATTAAATGAGAAAAATATGTGAAATTTCTCAGTAGTATTTGGATCTCTACCTGGGAGCTTTTTTTTTTTTTTTTTTTTTTTGCTGTACTCACTTCACAGGTGGAAGAAGACTTGTCAGAGGTCACATCAGACCAGGCCAAGAACCCAAGACTTTGACTTTAGACCAGTGGAACCTCCACTAGCCCCCATCTCTCCACAGTTCTGGGATTCCAACATCAGCCTGCCGAAGGGCTTTTGATTAGTTGGTAAACATTGATTTGCATCTAATGCCAGGTGCTTGGCTAGGTACTGGCAACACAGAGAAAGATAAGACATAAAATAATCACTATGGAAAGGGCCAGCTGAGCCCTTTGTTTTTCTCAATATTCCCTCTCACCCCTTCTTGTGGTTTTATTTGTTTTGTAGCTGTCACTCAAAGCAGTACTTTCCTGACTTTCAAACTAGGATATCTAACTGCTGCCTCCTGGTAGAACAGAATATTACAGAATTCGTGTTCCCGCAAATCTGCTTCTTTTCTGATGAACCCCACTCAATCACCCAAGTCTTGCATGTATTTTTCTCCTACACCCATTCTCAAATCCAGTGGCTTCTGCTGCCTAGAGTACTTTGCATTCTTTGATTTCTCTCCATCTCCACTCCATCTCCACCACCACCTTCCCTGGGCACTAAACAGACTCAGTGAGGTGTCCTTCAGTGACCAGGGTACACCAGCCTCTCTCTTCCAGTCCTTGGCACGCGCTGTTTTCTCTACCGAACACTCCTGACCAGCGTTCGTTCACGATTGTTTTGGAAGCCGTCCCCGTTCTGCTGTGCCAAGGGCATCTAGTCTATTACTTTTCTCTGTGCTGTAACTATCTGTCCTGATCACTTCCTACGGAGTACTAGCGCCTAGTGCTGCATTCAATGAATAGTAAACCAATGAATGGATGACAGCCTGGCGGTCACTGAAAGCTTTAAAACGCCCACTAGGAAGCCCAGTTGGACTTTGTTCCGAGGGCGAGGCCAGTGCCTGCCTGGGGCCGGAGGCAAGATGCGGTCGCCTGCCCAGGCCTGCCCCATTTCGCTGGCCCGCTCGCTCCCACCATGGGCAAAGTTTGATTCTAATTGTTCCCGGTTGGTTTTCTATTTTTTTGAAAACTTAGCCTCTAGACTCATAGGCACTGCATCTCCAATTCCGGCCCCCTCTGGAGGGATCTGGAAAATCTAAAATCAACATGCGCCAGCCCAACCCCCTCGCTGGACACTAGTTTCCTCGTGCATGCAATGGGTCTGAATTGCAAAATCTCCCGGCCTCCGGGTTTCCAATCACTCGTCGGACCCGTCCCTCAAAGCGTTTCTCTCATGGAAACGTGACCCTTGCCGGCCGCCGTTGTCGCGGCCCCAACCTACTCGATCGTTGTCCCGCTGCTTACCGCACTCAGCCCCTCGCGCCGCTATCCGGGTTCACGGGGCGGGGCTTCGATGTCACCCAGCGCGCTTGCGCGGACCGCCCAGGGAGGCCCTAGGGAGCAAGGAGGGGGCGGAGATTCGTGCCTGTGGAACCGGACCGCGGCCTGGGAGGGGAGGCCTTGATGTTAGGGGTGCGTTGCCTGCACCCAAGGGGACCGGAATTTGGAAAAGAGGAAAGAGGAGGGAACAGGTTGAGTCGGCGGGAGATGCGTTGTGCATAGCTGGTGACGCCCAGAGTGAGATGGGGAACCTAGTACTCTGAGTGGGCCAGTCATTTCCTCAGGCACAGTTGAGGGCGAGGCGAGTGGACGTGGGACTAGAAGCCCAGCGTGGGGCACAGACCGGCTCTGGGTCCTATAGCCCGCTGATTCAGTGTTGGAACCTAGGCTTGTTCCCAGCCCAAGCAGGAACTAGAAAAACCCACCTGGGGGCCAGCACGTGGGGTAGGGGTTACATCGCTGGACTCCACGTGCCTGACCGCGGTGGGGAGTCCCGGAGTCTCGGACCCATGTGACTTGAAACTCGAGCGTGTGTGCATTCGTGCCCAAAATCCGGAGAGGAGAATGGAAAATGGAGAAGGGATCGCAGTGTAGCCACTTTGCCTCTCACTGTCTCTGTCCTTCCTCCCCCGCCAGTGAGCAGACATGCCCTACGGCAAAAACCTCTGAGAGTAAGGAAGGGAGAAAACCCACCTGATTTCTCTTACTTGGGACAACAGCAAGGACTGTCTTAGAGACAAAAGGAAAGCATTTGTTTTTCTTTTCTTTTCTTTTCTTTTTTGAAAGGTTTTTGCTATAGGGTGCATGTGCGCTCACTAGAAAGAGAGAGACAGAGAGACAGAAAGCGAGAAATCACGCCCCAGGGAGGATGGCCACGCCGCAGTCCCTTCTCCTCTCGGAATCTTGGGCACGCACGCAGTGCCTGGTGTGAGTTTAAGCCACCGGGTCTGGGACTCGAACCAGGGTTGACTACGTAGGAATCCAGTGACATATCCATTATGCTAACTGCTGGTCCCCTTTTCCGGGGCAGTTTTTAAAATTTGCAAATGTATGATTCCAAACCCCACCTCACTCCTAGGTGGCCCTCAATGCCTTAACTATTTGTTCTCTCTGGGTTTTGTTAGGATTGTTCACATCCTAAAGCACCTGAAGCCCTTGTTTTTTGTTTGATTAAGAAGGTAGAGAGTGGGCCAGGAAGTGGTGTTGTGGTGAAGTCTCTGGACTCCCACATGACTGACTGTGGTTCTAGTCCTGTACCCAGCTGCTTGAAGTCATGCTGGGTGCCCTGTGCTTGTGCACAAACTCCCAGGAGGAGAATGAAAGAAGAGAGATTGCTGTTAAGGCATCCCCCCAGGGATGATTTCTTACTTTCCCTCTCGCTTCTCTCTGGCAAGCATGCCCATCTTATGGTCCTGGGTTGGTCTACTTATTATAATAAATCCTAATTCACTTAAGTCTCTCTTTACTCTCTCCCCTACTCTCCAACTTCACAGCCAATGCCCTGGTTCAGGCCTCATCACCTCACACCTTCTTAAGTAGCTTTAAAAAAAAAAAGTGAACCGATTTTCTAGAGGAATCAGGGAGAACTTTTTTTTTTTTAAATTATTATTATTTTACTTAACTTTATTATTTTAATTTTGACCAGAGAAGAACAGAATGAGAGAGAGAGGGAGAGAGAAAGTGAGAAAGGAAGCCGCCAGATCCAGGATTTGAACTGCAGCTGGCCATGTGGGAGTCCAGTCGCCTTAACCACCACACCACTTGGTAGCCTCCAGAGCAAGCTTTGGGATCTTGAAGGATGGGTAGAAATGTATAGACAGAGATGAAAGTAAAGGTGGAGTTAAGAGTTTGGCATGGGGAGCAACAAAGACAGTTCTCTGGGATGCTAGGCTGGTTTTAGAGACAGTGAGGAGTTTGATGTAGATACTGAGGAGGTCCTAAGTGCTGGAACAGGATGTCAGAAGCTTAGTGTTGGAGCAGTAGCCTTGGTTGGGTGGTCTAGTAGTTTGGCAGTTACCCCATGGGCTGTGGGGAGCTACGGGTTTGGAGCAGTGGAGAGACAGACAATTTTGTGTGTTAGGTACTGGTTACAGTGTGGCAAATGGCTTGGAAGTGGGGAGAGTAGGACCAAAGAGAGAGCATAGGAAGAGAGAAGGTGTGAAAGGATGAGGCCTGAACCAGGGCATTGACTGTAAAGTTGGAGAGTAGGGGACAGAGTAAAGAGAGACTTAAGAGAGTGAATTAGGATTTATTATAGTAAGTGGACCAACCCAGGGACCATGATCCTTCCAACGCCTTAAGTAAAGCAAGTACGTTCTCTGATGACAGGACAGGCTGAGCCCCGATCTTCTTGTGCATGTGGGATGGGGGGTGTGGAGGCAGATATATGGTCTTAGTTATTGCCAGAACAGTGTTACCTGATGTCCTTTCCTTGTCTGCTTTTCTGCCATGGGGGATATGAATAAGCATTTACCGTGATAGGCCCCAGGTGGCAAGAAAAGGCCACGATGTTAGCCAGAAACAATTAAAGATATTTCTAGTTGTGTGAAATTAAAAATCAAAAAACATGACCCAGGGTTTTCTGTGCAGGTTCCCCTCATCCAAGATGGGTGCCAGTGATGCATATCAGGTGTCTACTGGTGAGATTTGGGAAGGATTCCAGACTTTAAACAGCCCTTTCATTGAGTCCCCCCTCCTTGTGGCAGGTAAGGAGTCCTTATTTCCATTTTGTAGGTGTGGCAGCTAGGCCTCAGAAGTTATGTGATGTGGTCAAGGCAACCCAGACTCTAGTGGGACTGAGAATGAAGGGCCCTTGGCCAGTGGTCTTTCCTACAAGGCTTTGCCCTTCCTGCTCCCTTGACCTGGATGCTTTGTTCCCCAGATCCTCACATGACTGTCTCTGTCATACAGAGATCTCAGATGCCACTACACCTTACCAGGCTGTATCACATTGTTAATCCTGTGTATTTTTCATTCCTTCTATGAGTGAGTGACAGCACTCCCAACATGATCTTGACATCACATATCACCCCTAGCTTCAGCCCCAAACCATGGAAACACACTTGCCCAGCATACTCAGGAAAGTCTCTGGACACAAATTCAGGGCCCTCCCATGTGGGTCACCCTTGCAGGGCAGTGGTCCCACTGTGTGGTCCTTGAAATTGTTACTTTTATTTGTTTATTGTTTCCCTTTGAATTTGAACTTGTGAAAAGCAGACTGTATCTGTCTCCTTTACCACTTTACCCCAAACACAAGAATGGGGTCTGCTACATAGTTGCTCAATAGTATTTGCTGAATATTAGAAATAAACTGGGGATAGGGGGACAGCAGGTGGCTTGGGTGAAGGTGCTAGATTCCCACATGGCTGACTGCTGTTCATGTCCTGGACCTGACAGCTTGTTTCCTCACTTTTCCTCTCTCTATCTCTCACTGACTAAATTAAAAAGTAATAATAAATAAAATATATGTTTTTTTTTTTTTTTAATAAATAGGCTGGGAAGGAAGGAAGAGAAGGAAGTTTGGGATGTTTCAGATAACTCTCACAAATTACCTCTCTAATCCCCTCACAGCCTTTCTGTGTAAGTGCTGTGTCACCACTGGGTGGTTAAGAAATGTATTAAGGGGGCCAGTGGGTGGTGTGGTTGAGGCACTGGACTTCCACATAGCTGACCATGGTTCAGGTCCTGGACACCTGGTGGCTTGGGAGTCACTCTGCACATGTGTGTGCCTGCCCCAAAAAATCACAGGAGGAGAGTGAAGAGGGGATTGTGGCATGGTCATACCCCCTTGGGAATGATTTCTCACGTTCTTTCTCACTGTTTCTTCCTCCAGTGGGCACA